GCCTATTTTTATAAATAAAAAAGTTGTGGAATTTTGATGCGAGACAGAGCTAGATTTTCCATAGTGCGAGGCTTTATTTTCCGAGGAAATTCCAAAATAAAACGGAATTGAAATTAAATGTAGACTCCGAATTTATTACAAAGTATTAACAAATTATGGTTATATTTGGACAACAAGTATTCAGTATACTATTTATTGAAATTTAGAGTACTTTAATATCTCCAATATATTTTGTACAGTATTGTACGTATATATATTATATAACGTCATACAATTTTGCCACAAAATAATGCATGATATAAAATTTCTATATCCCTCATCCCCTCGAAAGATGTAGTGTTATAATAATGTGTGGGGGTGGTTATCATCGAGAGAATGTGTGCTCGGACACAGAAGCAGCAAAGAAGCAGGATCCAATTACTCTAAAAAGATGTTGACATTTCCCTGGAGGACCTCGCTGGCACTTTGTTGGTCACGCGAACTTTATACACTTTATAGGGTCTACAGAGCTATTCGTTTGGTTGCATGACGGTGCCGATCGAATACTCGCCGTCAGGTCGCAACACACAACGTAAATATTAAATTCAAAATCGTAACTGCTATATCCCTTAACTACCAAATTGCACCTTTTGAACATACAACCGGTTTTTACACAGAGCGATTACATAGTATTATGTTGTAAAGTTTGCGTTTCACTAATATCTACGATTATATTGTCATTTTGCTGACAATGGAGTGGCATATAGTTTGAAAGGAATTCAAAGAGAAAGTACCCTTTAAATACATAGATTAAAACGACCTAAGCTAAATTATTAAAGGCTTTAATAATGACATGCTAAAAAGATGGCCAGCTAAATATAATACAAAAAGATAAAGTGAGAACAGGATAAATTAATGATACGCTATAATGATTATAAACCAAAACAACGAAAAAATATGATATGATATTTTGACATTTAAAATTATAATGACGTTCATTTGAAACTAATATTTTATCGAGAAATGTCATTTGAATGAATGTTTCTTAATTAAGCATCTTAATGAAAAGAATTGCTTGGTAAAATCTTTGAAATGTTTATTTGATTTTGTATGGTTTTTGAAGTAGGCCGGCCCGGAAACCAATTCCTTGAGCCGAAGTTCGTCATTAGAGAGCGCGAATACACATCTTTAATCCGGAAATTATAATTAAAGGCATTAAAATGATTAAATCGGCAAAGGCGATTATAGTAATTTTGAGGGCCCGGGGTAACAAGAAGTGTTTGGGAAAAAGGGGAAGGGGAAGCAAACACGGGAGTGAAGACCTCTCCAAGGGTGAACGTTTAATTGCAACCGCTGCCGATTTCAAAGCGGTTTAAACTTCAAAGTGAAAAACGTTTCAACTTAATCGATTTTGCTTGACTTCGCACCACTTAAAACATCGCTCTCCTTTCTCTTCCCACACGCCGAGATCCAGTCGGCGTTTCTCACTGACAAGTGCCATTATTCGATGCCTCTGATTTAATAAACAATCCGGAGATCCTCATCATCCATCGAGTGTTGGGCCCGCAACCGCAGATAGGATAGACAACAATCGACCGACAAGCCATATTTCAGCCACTAAACATTTATCCCATAATATTTACTCAACAAAATCATTTCTTAAAAAACATGACCTTGCTGTACTAGAGCCTGACCTCGAAGATGGTCCAGAACCCACATTTTTTACCACTTGTACTTGAACTCATAATTGGACGCCTTTCTGCAGGAAGGAACCAACCCACAAAACTAAAAAAATCGAGATCTTTAGCCTGTGAACTAATTACGTATGTAAAGTTTATCTGTAAAATAGGTCATAGCCACAATGCAAGTGTAGTGAAATCTATTAATTATTGAACCAACCAACATTCAATAATATTGTGTATAAGAATCTGTAGAATAGATCCAAGGGGGTTGGATCTTTTCTGCAAAACAGTATTAAATCATAAACATTTATGGATTCAATAAATTTTATCAAATATCAAATTTTGACAGTCAAAATAGGAGCAAGCATAATGTGTTGTTTTGTTCTCCCAAACGACTTTTCAGATATCGAATGTGCTCTAAAACATCAACAGAGACTATATTAGAGTTATGGAAGAATGCCGCAAAAAAATAAGATTATAGTTACGCGCATGAGTCCTGCAGAAGCTGAGAAAAAATTAATATGCAACCGAAAGTTTGATATCAATAAAGAAAAGGTGAGCTGGATAGAGGCGCGTGAAATATGCCTTGATAAAACCGAGCCATTTTCAATATTTTAAAAAAAAGTTTTTAAGATACATCATATGTTGAGATAGACATAAAAAAACAGGTTGGTAGACCCACTACCAAATTCTTCAAAGATTTTTTGCTTCTGATGTGGCCAAATGGTAAAATATAATATAATATCTATACCTAAACTACAAGATATAAAATCCGTAATGCATCTAATACCCTAGGATTGTAAACATTTTTTTAGTAGCTTACGAGGTGAGGAGGGGTTGGAAGATGATGTGGACGGATTCACAGGGACTCCCGACTTTCAAATAGAAGCAGAAAGTCAAAAGTAACTGATATTACCGCCCTCGGTGGTGTAGTAGTTAGCACTGTGGTCCACAGTCTGTGGACTACAAGCCGAGAGGTCGTGGGTTCGAATCCCACCAAGGGTATGGCTGTTTATTTGTGTGTGTCAGTGTGTACTCCTGTAATTGGGCCTGGTGCCTGTTGGAAGCACATTAAAATAATAATAATAATAATATTACTATTTTAATTGTAATATCAGTTAATTTAAGTTATAATCATATTTTGTTTATTGTTTGAAAATAAATAATTGTCGTTTTTCTTTAAATACATACATTTGACTTATAATCAGATTGTAGTTTTCATAAATTGCAGAAAGGAACCAACCAACAAAAGCCTATTGTTTTTTATTACCTTTACACATAATTTCATAAATTCGAACTGAAGAAATTTTTAAATTATATCCCTTAAGCCTCCATAAGTCCAAAATCGGCATAAAATTTACAGATAATTTTAAAATTATTTAAATATTTGATACCTGTTTTCTCAGTTTCATCAGGGTGTTGGTTGGTTCCATTCTGCAGAAAGGCGTCCAATTTAAGATATAAAAATGATATTTATTAAAATGATGTTTTTCTTTAAATAATAATAATACAAACATTTATATTTTAAATACTAATAACTAATTTCTTAAGTCTTCAAAAAATGTGCAAAACCTTACACGTTACCATAGGAAATTGAACCCTCTTTAAGATACAATAAACACATACGTAATACCTGGTTATTTAAGGGTCTACACTCACGCAACAAGAGCGTAAAGTTTCATCAATGTTTTGTTTTTATTTATTTACAAAAATATCATATACATGGTTTCTCGAAAATGGGGTACTTACGCTATAACACGTGATGTAAAATACTCCTAATTTTTTTTTAATAGGACTTTTTTAGTTATTAAGTTCTGTGTTTAATCATAAATAAAAAATGTTTTTGGCCTGATTGGCAACCTAATTTTTTCATAATATGCTTTTATCCCATTAATCTACTTTTTTCTACTATTGCATAATATTGACATTATTTTGGGGGTTTGCCCTATATAATGATAACCATTATAACCGCCTCGCCTAACAACAAAAATAATTAACCCATTATTCCCGTTGTTACACATAAGTGATAGGCTGATTTCATTATTTACTGTGATTTTCCTAACCGGGCAGTTGCAATACATCAGTATTATAAATCTGACACCTGTTAAATGATCTAATCAAACTTTTTAATTTCTTCTTTATTTCTTTTTATCTCTCCCAATACAAATTATACAATAAGGGTAGAGAAAGCGTAGTATACTATATACGCTAAAGAAGTGTCGGGTTTTCGCAACGCGCGCGCCATCTGGTGGACTTCGATAGCATTGCGTGAATTTAATAATTGTCAACAATACATTTAAAGCACAGATTATACATCATTTTTAATTAAATAGGTAGTTTTTTCACAAAAGGGAAGGCAGAAGTCTTACTCGACAAATTTTACATTGCAAGGAAAAAATTAAAAAACTTTTTTAGTATACTCGATTTCGATTGATTATTCCTTATATCATTAATTAAGAAGCTCAACGCTTAAAGGCTTACTATATAGTTACGTAAGTGTGTGCATTTTATCTAAGGGATCATATTGTGTTTTTAATTGTAAATAAAATTCAAGAACTAAATCGTTTTACCATAGGATCCTATTCGGTAAGTACATTTGTTGGTGCAGAATTAACTAATATAATTTATATTTAGGTTTGGACATTTTTAAGAAATTAGTAAAAAATAATTTTTGCACAAACATAACCTTAAAATCAACCATTCTTATATTTGAGTTCTCTAAAAAACGCCGACAACTGCATTTTAAACAACAAAATATACCTATTAGATACAATAAATACATATTTTAGTAGTGATTAACGTGAAAAGTGTAAACTTTTCAATTCAGTAAAAATCGTCAAACAATTAAGTCGTCTAAATTTAAACAGCATTTAGCATTTAGCATCTCTGGCCTGGCGCGCGATGGCAGCTCGAGACGCAAACTCAATCCTTGGGAATAATAGCCGGCATTATCTCTCATATAATAATATACTATTACTTTGCATCTTTTAAACCTGCGTTAGTGTATTTTGATATTTTTATAACATTGCAATGTTACATTTATCTTATTTTATGAAGAAACAAAGATCTCTTTAAACTGTGGTTTAGGACATTATGAATACTTATTTAAAATAAACTCCAAGATGTAAAATTAAAATCCCACTTAATGCCGATATAATAGAGACAGTAAAAGCTCCAAATAAATAATTTCTCGTGAAACAAAACGAGCAGAATGACTACAATAACTAAAACTTTATCCGGTCCGCTATAAATTTCCCACAAAACCGAGCTTCGTCAGCAACGAGTTTAAGAAATTATTATATAATTTCTGCATCAAAATAATCACAAACTTTTACTTACCATGAGTGTGAGAAAACTGCTTTCAGCCAATGCGGTGACGCATCCAAGAAAAGAGACGGCCATGATCAAAAGGCTTGCGATTATAAGGACGTAAACGCCATCGTAAAAGTGATCAGCGTGTAGTTTGTAGAGCCATTCTTGTATACCATTTTCCAGTCTTAACCATAGACATAGTGCAAAAATACTGGCTCCCATCATCTGAAAAAAAAAATTATTCATTGAAATAGTTTTTCATATTTGCAAAATGACCTGAATGATTGTAAAGCATGCATATTCCAAATTGTTGTTGGTTGTGGTAATTACGACATACAATAGCTTAAACAAATACGGGAACTTCAAACATGACAATTGGTTCGTGTTTATTTTGTGTCGCGAGAATTTTGGGTTTTAATTACATTTACGTTTGATTCAAACCACCGCCCCTACCCCTGTTATCTCTAATACGTCACTATCTCTTGCTATTTGCTTAACAAAGTTTATACACATATATCTCGACTTTACTTGTCAATAAGTTTAGCAGATTATAATAACTATAGTAACTTTAACGAATTTTAATTGAAGGGGTAAAAAGCAAAAGGGTACTCGTACAAGTGCATTTTAGCATGAAAATAAGTTAAGTGCCGAATTGGGTGGTAGTTTAAATGTTTTTTTAAAATATTTTTATAACGTAAAATTTATACGAGTTCTGCATGTTTATTAATGCCAAGAACAATATTAAAACAAGTATTCTGATTTTTGTATACAGAAAAAACTTTTAAACTCCACTTCTCTTTTTTGCACTTATACCCTTTTGATTTCTACCCCTTCAATTGTAATTATTTTAGATTTTGGTCAAGTTGCAAAAATAGGTAATGCGCATTTTTTAATAATTTTTATATTAATTTGGTATTTTTATATTAAAAAAATGATTTTTCATAAGATGCCTTTTATTTTGAAAGAAAAATAGGTTATTTTACCAAGAAGTTAATATTTCTTATTGAAAATTCAACTTTCGGCCCTTGTAGTGTAATATACTATTATCCGAAATTGGCAGTAAAGTAGTCAACAATCGGCAGTAAAGTAGAACTTTACTGCCGATTTAAGATGTGTCTACTGCTCCTCAGCAGCAACTAATTTTTTAAAAAAAGCACCGTCGCGGAGGTCGATTGGACTCTTTCATAAAATGTTGTTTAATAAAAATAATAAGTTAATTTTATTAATTAGATTAAAAAATCGCCGCGGCGGGCAAATATATTGTAGCGAGTACCGCTCTGGATCTCGGAATGATGAGTCATCGCCGGTGAGTCAGCGCTCGAACAATCGAAAGAGGCGTGGAGCTTGCTGGAATATTCGAGAATGCACGTAGGTACTGAATATATAAGGAACGGCGCAGCATGGAGCAGTCAGTCAAGCTTTGGTACTCGCGACGAAATAAATAAATATACGTGCAAATAAATAGACTCTAGTGATATATAAATAATTAGTAGTTAAGTGTTTAGTTAGTTTTATAGTTTCTTAGGTCCGGTTTTATCATCACTAGTAAAATTAAATTACTACTTATACTTATACTTAGTATACTATAGTTCATTTGATTTTGTGTTTTACAATTGGTAGTTATTTATCCAAGAACAGATTATGTTTGAGTTTCCGTAACTACCACTTCTTGTTTTAGTAAAGTGGTGGTTAACCTAAAAATACAGTTAATATTGTGCTTATTTTAAATATGGATTTATTGAATTGGGATTTTAATATTTATTACGATGACAAAAATTGTTAGACATCGGACTTAATGTATATAATGAATGCTTACTTAAAATATACTATACAAGGTGTCTCTAAACTTATTGGCATAAATTTAGAAAAAGATTGAGCAAGTCAAAATAAGACAAAAACTTAAATAAATATTTTCCTAATTACTTATGTTTCCAAGATACAGGGTTATTTATCATATCAGTTTTTTTAATCAGCCATTCCAGAGAATTAGAAACTAAGGAGCAAAATTTAAAATTGTTTATATGCAATACCTTTAATATGAAATATTGTATTGTACGTAGTCTATATTTTACATATCTATATTTTACATATCTAATATAAAAATAATATATTTTCCATTATTAGGCCCTTAAAACAATATTTTACTTAATGCGAACGCATCCCAAAAAAATAAATCAAAACATAAGTTATTTAGCAGGCTATTGTTCAGTGATTATGTCATTTATTATACAACTGTCATTATTTTATTTCATTAAAATATTAATTATCAGAGTGTTTGGTGACGATTTTGTAAATCAAAATGGGTAAGTAGTATTTTTTTATTAACTATATTTATTTTATGTTGTTAGTGTAGCGTCCGTCATCAAAAAGATGTAATACTTAATATTTCTTAATGAAGATAAATAATTTTTGACTAAATTATTTATTTTTAAAAACACACATTTTGCCTTTTGTCAGTATATTAAGCTTTTTTAGATATGTCAAGAATCTAATTTTTTAAAAATTAAACTTTTATGTAGCGTCCGTAAGCAAAAAATGTAATATTTTTTTGGATTTTTCATTTATCTTGTTTTACGGTTAAATAAGACTAAATTAAAAACACACAAATGCTCATTCTAACCTTGTTTAAAGATTTTTTTACCGGTGGAATATTTTTTACAGATCAAAAGGAGAAGCGCATTAAACAAAATAGAATTGCCGCGCATCGTTATCGAGAAAAAATTAAAAGTGACGAAATTACAAGAATTGCACTTTTAAAAAAAGATGCCGAAAGAAAAAAAGTTTAAAGAGTAAAGAAAAAAGAAAAGTTGCAGTTTGATAGTCATTTACGAAAAATTGAGAAATTTAAAGTTATTGAAAGAATGAGGCGTTACAGATCAAAGATTTAACAAATGAGACAAAATATTGAGCAGTCTTATAGTCCTTACAGATGTCCTCAAACGTTGGGTAAAGCTTTAAAAAAAGTTAAACATACGTACCAGGAAGTCCTCGTAAAAGAAAAATTGTAGTGCAGAAGTTAGTTTTACAAACTATCCCCGAAAAGTTGCGTGACGAGAAGCCCACAATAATTCATGGACTTACTACATCTACTGAAGATGTTAGACTTGTCAATATTTTTTACCTACGTGATGATGTTAGCAGACAGGCCCCAGGAAAGAGAGACACAATAAGTGTCAAAAATCCAATTACTGGTAAGAGAGAATCGTTACAAAAAAGACATCTTATGGCGATTAAGGAGGCATTTACACTATTTAAGCAAGAATTCCCAGATACAAATATTCAGATTACTAATTTTTACCAGTTGCGCCCCAAGCACCTTCTGTTATCATCACAAATGTTTGTGCTGAGGATGTTGAAAATATAAAAGAGATGCTGGATAAAAAGTGGGCTAATGTTAAGAAGATTCCTTTTATCCAATCAAAACACTTTTTTATGAAGTTAAGCTCCAATTCGTTGCAAACCGCTCAAACAAGAAATTCCAGTTACGAATCGTGTTTTGTATTTAAGTAGTGGCATATTTTACTGTTATTTTTTTGTTTAGTGAAGTTTTTGGTTGTTTATTTTAATTGAATTGAAAAATAGAAGATTAGCATTTTGGTGGAACTTTTGTAGCGTCCGTCATGTAGCGTCCATCATCACATATTTCATGTACTTATGTAATATCTATTAAACTAAATACAAAATAAAAATAAGAAATATTTATCTAGTCCAATGCTTAATATATTATAATAAAGTTTAAATTTAATCCCTTATCAATTTGCTAATATTCAGGTGAAACATAAAATAAATTTATTCCACTTCCATTTTTTGTAGCGTCCGTCATCTAAGTTTAAAAAGTAAAATCTTGGAATCCCTAAATGTCAGATAGTTATTTTATATGTTATTTTTTTTTACCTTATCTCCACTTTCAATTTTTAATATTAGCTTTAAAATCAGTTTTAGTTTTTGGGCATTTTTTTTAAATATTTGACAAGATTTTGGTCAAATGGTAGCGTCCGTCATCATGAAATGGCTGTAATATAACTTCCACTATCGTAGACTTGGAAAGGTGATATTTTGCGAACAGTCACTTACCACCAAAACACATATTCACACATAATTACAATTGTTTGAGGGAACACAGTGTCGTAGAAACGGGGGTTGCTTTAAGCTTAACTTTGAGGTTAGGTTTTTATAACATTTAATACAATTTTTCGATTACACAGTTCGGCTACCATTAAAAAGGTTAGATAAAAAAGCATAAACTGTATTTGGTATTAATCCACATTGCAAATTGTACCAGACAAAACGGCATTTAGTATACTTATTGCAAGTACAGTACCGTAAAACGGGATAAATAGAAACTTGAGGGGAAATATAATCAAATTTATAGGATTTGTTTAAAAATCATATTTTGTTTAAATTATATTTGGAAAGTTTCGGTTTAAGTATATAAATGTATACACTTAAACCAAAGCTTCCCAAATTTTATTGAAACAATTTATGATTTTTTAAACAAATCCTGTAAATTTGAGTATATTCCCGTCGCCAGTAATAACAAAACAAAGTAGCCTACTTTTCTCAATTCACTTTTACAGCGCAAAATAAGGTTATATTTAGCGATTTCCGGTAATATTTAATACCAACATGACAAAAAAAGTTGTGATTCTGTAACTAATACTTCAAAATGCATGAAAAAATAGATTACAATTTAACTAACAATTTACCTCTAGTTAAATATAACTGTAACTTACGAAAGTACTAATTAAATGCAATATTGAAAAACCGGGCCTTAGTGTTTTAAGTGTAATTAAGTTATAAAAATAAATAGTTTAGTTCGTTAATCAACCAGTGCGTAGTTTGTAACCTCAACTCGAGGGCTATGGCGAACGGCAGCTTTACAGTGGTGAGATGGGTCGATGGGCAAATGTTGTTTCTTAATACTTACGTGTTTTTACTAACATAAATCCAAAATTGGGCGCCAGTGTCTTATTATGGCCAGTTGTTAAAATCTAAGTAAGTCAGACACAATCTTACTAAAGACTAAGGGTGGTTATTAAAAGTCAAGTTTAAAAAAAATATAAATCAGTTATATTTGTTCACCGATGTTAAAATGATCACTTTGCATGTACTTACGTGTTTTTACTAACATAAATCCAAAATTGGGCGCCAGTGTCTTATTATGGCCAGTTGTTAAAATCTAAGTAAGTCAGACACAATCTTACTAAAGACTAAGGGTGGTTATT